TCAAGACTGCAAAGAGACTCGCTGAACCAGTATTCTACAACGTTCAAGAAGAAGACGTACAACGAACTAAATGCCATAATATTGGGATCCGCAAAGTGGAAAAAAAACACTGTGATGACGGGTCAAATAAAGTGCTAGAAGTATTTTCATAGATCAATATATATGTATATATATATATATATATATCCTCCAATGATAAAAGGAGGAGCTGGAGAGGTGAAAAAGTAATCAAACCAGTTCAGCTTGTTGTCGCTGAACAGTTTTCTCCAATTCGGCAACACGTACATTCAAGGACTCATTCTCAGCTAGCAGTAGTTCATCTGAACGAATTGCTTTTTGGTCATTCTCAAATTATTTTTTCTGTTGATAAAGGCAAAATTTTCTAAAAACTCCACAGAATAGGTACTTAATCAAATATTGTAAAATTTAGGTGTTTTCTCCTACTTACCATCTCTCACTTTGTTATCATTGTAACTGATGATACGTATCTTTTGGTATTTATGTGATTTTATAATGATCGAATATGACGTCGTTAAGAGTATAATTTATTGGCTTCAATGCAGTACAATAAAAATAATGGTTAATGTTTGGGCGGCTTCGCGTCATTCTCTTTACGTTCCAAACCAGTAGTTATCTATAGTGTCCATTTACTGAGGTTATGTAAACATTTGGCTGAGTAGATTGCGAGTCGATTTGCCCCTTCCAAGCTCTGATTAAGGCAGTTCTGTCGAAACGTGAAGCATAATTCTATTGTAGTGCACTGTTGTCAATAAATTCCATTATTAACGATCACGCATCTGCTCATGAAAAAAGCATTTGAATTCAGTCAATGCCGTGATTAATAGACAGTCGGTTCTGGGATTTTCTAAAATTAGATCTGTTAAGATCAAGTAAATTGAGCAAAGAACAATAATGTTTTCGTCAATGGTCGAGCTAATGGCATAACGTTGATGAAAAACTTCCTGAACTTTTGTTTGATTTTCTAAATAAAGAAAGAAAATTTGTCTGACATGATGAATGATTTCTACATAGATTTGAATATCAAGTTCTAAGAGCGTAATAAAAATTATCTTTCAATGAAAAGTAAATTGGTAAAAAGACGCGAGTACACAAAATACTAAATGAACTACAAAAAACCGTAGCAAGCGATTATGAAGGACGAAAGGAGAATTGACAAAGAGGGAAAACTTAGCAACTACTGGGTTGGTGTAAAAGTAATTGCGGTTCAACTATGTAATGCCGGAATTTTGCCGTTTTGTATAGAAATATAATAAAGACCGAAATCATCGTAGAACCTTAAATCTGAAGCCGCAACGACTTTTGCACTAACTTAATGCATTGGTAGGTGAAGAGAGGCGTGAGGCGTAAAACATTAGGACATCCATGTATAACCAAAAATGAAGAAATGATAACAGTTACAAAACATATAGAAAATGTGCTTATTTCCTTCTACCTGCTGTTTCTTCAAGGATCGGTATATGTGACGAAGAATCGATAACCATAGTGAATTTGACGTTCAGCCGACACCATCAAATCACGCTGACGCCGTGAAAAGCAACATAACACCAAAACACGCTGTGCTAATAAAAACTTCTATAAACACTGTCGCACTTTGGGCCAATTCTCTAGCTGTGTATACAATTGCAATTTCCCCATGAATCAATATGATGTAGTAGTATAACCCGCACGGAAGAGGATTTTGTCGAGAGACTCAACATCATTATGCCTCAAATGGACATCCATGCCCCATAAAATCTGCCTCATAAAAACAAAATTCTATGCTCCTGTATAGCATAGGCTTCTCAAAGCCTTCTCATAACAGTTCAGGGGATGTCTGAAAGAGTGAAGTTGGACTGATTAGAGGCCAAGTGAGATTCATTAAGAGACGTCTGCAATAGCGCATACGACTCCGAGTAGTTTAGTGAGTGTACTCGTTGATGCGAATGTCCTTTTTTATTAATAATCAATGTGAGCGTAAGTTTTATGGCATATGATCGGTCGTTTGTTATAATTAACAAAATTGGTCACCGTCCCAATAGCCAGTTCCGATTGCAGCCAGCGCGATTTCTGGAGCTACTTAGCAGCAACGAGACAAAAACAAGCCACGAAATTTCTCATTTTTGAGTGGCAAAAAGGCTTTACTCTAATTGTTGTATTATGCAAAAGTTGGTTAGTGTTTTCCGTAGAAGTATATACGATGACTTCTGAAAACCAATCATTCTCACCATAATATACCTTTTGTCAATTAAGAAACTCACAGAGCAAATTTCTCATTTTCGTTCAGTTCATGCATCATCCAGCTATAATACTGTTTTTGCTCTCTATTTCGGTTACGCGACTTGCAAAGGGTTGTCGGGCTTAGGCATAGTTCCTCCACAAGCTGACGAGCTGTTGCCCTTCGAGCGTGTTCGAATGAAAATTTATTGCATGGAAAGTATTTCATTATCCTCAATCAAACTTTTGGACGTAACGTTGTATTAGGTCTCCAACTAAGTTTTTCAACTCAATCCACATCCAAAAGTTTTTTTTCAAGAAGTATCAAATAACATTAATTGAAATATTCCCCATCTGCTTGGATGCAATTCTGCCAACGCTCCGGCAACGCTCTTTCGGACCTGCCTCTCTAACATAGTGGAAATCATCGGCGAAATCACCAGTTGACAAAGTCGGATATTCTTTAATCGCTTCAGTGATTGCTTCTCGATCAATTTCACGCGGTCTTCCGGATCTTAATTGATCGGACAAATCAGGTTCTTCATAGCGAAACTTTGTAAACCATTCATACGCCGTAGTTCTACCCACAACTTGGCGGCCTTTTGCACGATTGATGTTGATAAATACAGCATGAAGATTGTGCCCCAATTGAAACTCGTAAAAAAGTAAGTTGCGAATGACTTTCCGTGACTTATGCATATAATCAGACAATAAACAACAACAACTATTCTTCAAAATACAGGCCATCATTATCCACCACTTTTTGCCATCGATCCGCCAGGTTTCGAGTCTGATCGAAGTATCACTCCTTCGGCTTTGAATCAAGAAACTCATGACATGCTTCTACAACTTCGTCGAAAGATTCAAATCGGCGATCTTCCCAAAAGTGTTGCACTGATCAGAAAAGGCCGTAATCAGATGGAGCAACACCCGGACTATAAGATGGATGCGAACCGATGTTTCTTCAACCGCGCGGTCGCCCCAAGCTTTGTTGATTCGGCGAGCAGCATTAGCAGCACTTGAACTAACTTTGTACTCGCAAAGCATCAACAAACGTTTTGTTCCCTAGACAATTCCAATCTGCAGCAGATACAGATAAATTATTTATCAATAGATGCGCAAGAAGTAGACCAGTCAAATGATATGAATTTCACACACGGTTCATGCAAAAAAAAAACGACATTCCAATCCAAACGATGGAAATTTTCTCTTAAACTTGTTATGGGTAAAACTGTACCAAAAGTTGCGCAAGAAAATTCTGCACTAAACAGGTAGAAAAAAGTTTGTTTTTGTGGGAAAACTTTTATTTTCTTGATGAAGTTCGGAAACGTAGCTGGAGACCTAATACAGTACAATGGTCAGTTATATAGTAGTCCAATGAAACATTGCTATCATCGAAGTTTCAAGAAACAAAGCCGAATTTTTTACATAAAACATTGTCTCTAATTTAATCTTTGCATCTCAACTGCCGTAGTTTTCTTTTGATGCTAAAAGATGGACATGTGGTTTTGTTTTCACATTAAGTCGACTTAGTTTAATTCAAAAAAGTTTTGCGTTTGCTATTTTAACAGAGCAACGAAAGAAAGGAAAAACTTTAGAACAGCTAGTTTCAAGCAGTCTTCTCAAGCTATTTCATAAAGATATGGATATTTTGTTCACAACACCTATTTCTCTTTTATATAAGCGTAGAAATGCTGCCGTACATAGTTTAAAAGTTTTTCTGCCGTTTTGTGTAATGTATTGAGAAATTCGAGTCATTCAACTTGGCCAAAGTCATCAATGTCTATGATTCTACTAAATTCATAAGACAATCTACTGCGAGGACGTGCGGAAGCTTACTGTCGGGTCATTAATCTCTCTTCCTTCTAATGAGACGCCCCACATTCTTTCTGCATTTCGTCTCTTTTGTTTGTTCATTTGCCATTTACTCCAGGAAATTGATTAGTCAACATTTTAATCACCATTACTACCATGATATGGAACCATTTGCTGGGCATGGACTGAATGTCTTCCTCTCAGAAAGGATAAGGCCGCCATTGAAAAAATAAGGTCACTTTTGAGCTGATTGTAATCTTGAAACCTTCCTTCCCGCAAATGCTGTTTTAGAGGGTCAAAGATATGACCCGATGGAGCAACATCATGGTTGTACGATGGGTGTGCGACCGTGGTCCAGCCCTGTTTCTCCAAGATGTGGCGAGTCAACTTTGCAATGTAAGGTGATCGGCCGATGCATGAGGTGTCCACCTCGACATCAGTCTCTTCACTGAGATGGCGAGCGATGGTGCTCCGACTGTATCCAACTGTCTCACTAGGCTACTAGAACATCCTCCAACATACCACAGCTTTTGGCAAGAATCCGATTTGAAATAGAAAAAAACCAGCAAAACGATAGTGCGAAAGAGATTATAAGACAATTCAATATTTTCAGAAGAACTACTAATGGTGGTTCTAGTAAGGAAAATAGGCTGAAAAAAAAATGAGAAAAGTGTGCTCGGAAGACTAGAATGAAAAAATTGATGCAACTGATAACTAGAAACTGTAAATATGGATCTTTTACTGTGAGGAGAAGTATGTACATATGGATTGCTGAGGTAGGTAGAGTTCAAAAAATAGAAAAAGCAAAATCAAACTCAATATGTTATGGAAAAGCACAACAGTTAGCTAATAAACTAAAAGAAAGCCTCTTTTCTATCTCTATTTTGAAGTCTATTTTTTCAATTTTACCACTTTTATTGGTGGTATGATGTTATAATATACCCAGTGATACTGAGTAATGTGCAAAACTTTGCGTCAGTTGGGACTTGAACCCACAATTCATGCCATCCGGGGTACGTGCTGGAACCGTTGCACTACCGACGCCTGTTTTGACGCCGCTTATTTAGCCATAGTTGAGCCAACACCCATAGTTTTGAGTGATACTCAAGATTTCTAGTGCTTTCTACTACTCTTTCCGCAGTATTATGACTTTTCATATATGCCTAAGAAAACTGAGTGGTGAGCAAAAGAAAAATTTCCTGAGAAAATTGCATTCCCTGCAATCCAGAGATAACGCATTAGCTTGGCTATTCAAGCAAAATTGACTCAACGGGCATTTAACGGCATTTATAGAGAGAGCAACAATTTCTTTTCCTCAAGCAATAGTCGGACCCGCACACGAAAAGTTCGAAGACCTCCAGGGATAATGGATACGAGTATACGAAACGAGTGCAGACAGTTTTGAGTTTCGCACAGAAAATGCGAAAAGAGGCTGTTTAAAAAACTTAGTCAAACGTGAAGCAACATTCCTTGATTTTTCTGAACAAACGTAGAATATTGAGTAGCTTCTACCGTTCGTATAACTAGGCTTTTATGTCTTCAGTTTTCAACTGCCTTTAGTGAATTTTCACTTGAGTGTGGAATGAAGCACTTACTAATTTGGTTCCGATGAGATCTCGCTGATGAGCGAATTGTGTAGAATCCACTTGGCAGCGCCGCATACGGTGAATACATTCTGGTAGATGAAGAGAAGATCGATCGAACGAGAACAATCAATACAATCAATATGATTGCGAGAGAAATGAACCATGGCATTTCCTAACAATACGAGTGAATCACAAGACAAAGATATTGGGAGAGGCATTAAAGCCATAGAAAATGATGACTTTTGTCGTGAACTTCTTCCGCATCGGTGATAAAACAGTCAGGGATTTTCAGAGGTGAACATGTTTCAGCACGTTTAAGGATACATATACTCCATTTGATGTGGTAGAAGGAATAGTTTCAATACCGGTTTACTCCTCTTCATAAGCTCGATCGCATTGAACTCCACGAATGGAATGCCGGGCATATAACTAGTATAGAAATCGGAAGAACAAAATCAGAAGTAGCGCATATTCTTTTCAAGGGCGGAATACTAACGTAATTCCTTAAACAAAGCTGTGCTTAGATGCTGGAATTGGAAATTGTGGCGCATGTGGCACCATAAATAGGCTGTCGCTTCCATAGCAATGCATAATCGAAAGCACCAGCACGAATTGCTCGTATTCATAAGTAATGATCGAAGTTCTACTGTTGAAGTAAAAGATAATACATATTGTTAAAGTAAAAAGAAAACATCGCTTCTGCTAATATGATGCCCTATAAGTCGGATTCGACATGTTAAATAGTTCTCGAGTGGTCGGTTGACTGATGTTAGGACTCGCTATCGTCCTGAAAGATTTCGAGCCAATAGTCGATTACTACCTTTAGTCGCTTCGTGCACTCCGGAACTGACACCCGATCAGTATTCAGTGTGTTAATAAAGGGTGAAGAAGACAAATTATCTTCCCACGGGTGAATACGCTAAATTATACTAAGTCAAAAATTTCTATAAAAGAAGCCGTCACGATACAAATAAATGACCACCAGTAATAGTCTGAACAACATAACATATCAGAGCGCATTCTTCAGGTGTCTTCAAAAATATAATTGCAGTAATTTCGCCTCAGTTTCAGAAAATTTTCAGAAAAAGCAAATAACACTATTTCAGACTAAAATTGTCGGAACAATTCTTCCGTTCTTAGTATCTTAGTTCTTAGTATTGGCAAAACGGAATCATATGTAACCTCTTTGTAATCTATGGAATAATTGAGAATAAGTTATTTGATGCGAGGTTCTAAAAAGTCTCGCTGGCATTTCTCAAAATTCTCCGACGAAGCTATCTGAAATTTTTGATTTTTACACTCTTCTTATAGTACTCCAGGTAGATAGGATCCGTTGAATTAGCGACAAACATTGGTATCACTCTCACTGAGAACTTGTTTTCTGCCTCCCTCAGGTGAACCGCGAGTTCGAAGAAAATAAAGTGAAAAACAAGCTGCAGAATGATCTATGGGGAAATATGGAAAGAGGTGACGGAGGAAGAGAACGTACGACAGAAAGAGTATGAATGAAAGCAGAGATGGAACTAACATTGTAGTAACCTAAAAGAATTAATGAAGAAATCGAAAGACCTTGACCTATGTGCGAACACATTACCTTTTTCTTACAGCGCAGATTCTACGACTTCTTCGAAATCAGGTTCTTATGACAAAATAATTGGAGAAGCAGAATGTCTCTTCAGGTGGAAGTATTAAGGGAATGATGTGCATGTTTACATATGCACATATACATAACTTAATTAATATATTATCGTAAATTCTTTCATTATTATTTGAGCCAATTTGTCATGTGTTCAGGTAAGGGCTCTTGTACAGCCCGATACACGTGTTTCGTCTTTACAGACTCGTCAGTCGGGCAGAACCCGTCGTCTTTCGATATTTTTGAAGTCAATTCTCTCGGGAGCTCTGCTCCCTTACAGAGAGTTATCGAAGAATAACGTTTTACACTCTATGTTAAGCGAAATTTTCACCTACACAGAGTGTTTTCGCACTCGATTGCTCGCTGGCTGGTATTTTTATCATATTATACCTTTCCTTCGAGTGCTTTATTAAGAGCACGCTCGAATTTCAATAAATCCTTTCATTATTATTTGAGCCAACTTGTCATGTGGTCTGGTAAGGGCTCTTGTACAGCCCGATACACGTGTTTCGTCTTTACAGACTCGTCAGTCGGGCAGAACCCGTCGTCTTTCGATATTTTTGAAGTCAATTCTCTCGGGAGCTCTGCTCCCTTACAGAGAGTTATCGAAGAATAACGTTTTACACTCTATGTTAAGCGAAATTTTCACCTACACAGAGTGTTTTCGCACTCGATTGCTCGCTGGCTGGTATTTTTATCATATTATACCTTTCCTTCGAGTGCTTTATTAAGAGCACGCTCGAATTTCAATAAATCCTTTCATTATTATTTGAGCCAACTTGTCATGTGGTCTGGTAAGGGCTCTTGTACAGCCCGATACACGTGTTTCGTCTTTACAGACTCGTCAGTCGGGCAAAACCCGTCGTCTTTCGATATTTTCGAAGTCAGTTCTGACCACATGACAAGTTGGCTCAAATAATAATGGAAGGATTTATTGAAATTTGAGCGTGGTCCTAATAAAGCACTCGAAGGAAAGGTATAATATGATAAAAATACCAGCCAGCGATTAATCGAGTGCGAAAACACTGTGTTAGGTGAGAATTACGCTTGACTTGACTTTAAAAATATCGAAAGACGGCGGGTTGTGCCTGACTGACGAGTCTGTAAAGACGAAACACGTGTATCGGGCTGTACAAGAGCCCTTGCCAGACCACATGATAAGTTGGCTCAAATAGTGATGAAAGGATTTATTGAAATTTGAGCGTGGTCTTAATAAAGCACTCGAAGGAAAGGTATAATATATTATCATTTTTATTGAATTTATTGGGCGTTCTGACGAGTACGTGTAAAAACTGATGACATTAAATCTTCAACAGGAGTAGCTACTTTCTAGAACTATAATTCCTGATCTTAAAGCGATAAAATACCCTTTAAGATTCACAACTTTTTCGTGACCTTACTCATGAAACAATTATTTCTTTGCCTATAGCAATGGCGCCGCTCTACAGGCTTTGCTTCACTCACTGATCTCCCTTTCCATCCATAAAAGTCAACAACTTCCTATAACGACGGCATGAAAACTTTATAAGCTAGCAATCTCAGTTTCCGCGAGAAAGTTGCACTCTATCAGAATCCACGTTGATACGAGAATTTGATGAAGTCTCAAATGTCATTCCTAACAAAATAGAAGGCTGATTACCTCTGTGGCTGGCAAAGACTAGGCAAGACGAGATGGAATTGCTGGAAAGAAAAAGAAGAGATAGGCAGCATCTATGTCTTTGAGCAGGTATGACGATTAACGTAAAAATAATTAGATATTTGAGATCTGTTCGAGATCTCAACTAAGGCTAGGACAATGTTTCACCTCTTGTTACAGTGAGTAATCGTTTTGAATTGTCACTAACCAAAAAACAGCCATTACCTTCCGATACCGCAAATAAAGTAATTATCGTAAAAAACATCAGGCTCATGTGAGCTGCTCCAACTCCGGCATCGCAGAATTTATTTTGAAAAGTTGAACTCCAAGAAAATCCTTCACTGAAGAAACAAGTAATAAAAGAAAAACCATAACTACGAACGGCATGCTTAGAAAAATTGCTATTTGATAGTCGCATCACCATTTGAACTTCTCCGAGATAAGAGAATCTTACAAATGCCCTAGAGCATATAAACAGCATAGAAGCATGATAATAAAAAAAACACTCAAAATTTGCACAGCCAAATTCACAGATGAAATGCATCCGCTGAAAGAAAGGCAATGAAGCAGATGCTGTAAACGTAATCAGAAGGAGTACCGTGAGGACACCTTTTCTTTAGATGGACTTTTCTTTACCCCATAGAGCACCATACGTAGACTACAGTGTACGTGGACACCACATAGTGTCTAGCTAAAGTACCACTTGCTAACTATGTTATGTATGCCGTAGGGGTGGGGTTCGTTGGATTCCTGAGTTTTTTACCAGACTGTGTATATTCTCTAATATAGAGTGAATTGCAAAACTTTTGTCCCATTTGGAACTCAAACCCACATTTCACCCTATCCGGTAGCGCGTGCTCGAATCATTGCACTACCGACGCCTCTTCTCACACCACTCTTCCTAAGCTACAACGCATATATCTGTCAGCCTAAAAATGTATACATATATGAATGTACAAAATTGCACGAAAAGGAATTCTATAAGGTCATCCAGTACTCAATATAGTCAGCGTGACTGGGTTCAATGTCGATAACGACTATCTGGAACAAACCGTTGACGGTTGGTTGCTGAGAGATAGATTCATTGTAGCAGAGAAAGAGTGGTGTCGAAACAGGGGCTGGTAGCGTAATGGTTCGAGCAAGCGGCCCCGGATGGTGTGAAACGTGGGTTCGAATCTCACTTGACGCAAAAGTTCTGCACATCACTCTACATCAATGGGTATATTTATGGTCATACAAGCTCTTGAAGAGGCGAAATAAAAAGAAGTGCTGTGTATTTCTATTTTATAGTCAATTCAAAGGGTATTCAAGAGAAAAGGTGAGAGCAAAAATTTGCAAAAAGCATCCTTACAGACGGGTTCGTTTTTCAACGATACATCTTGGTACGGTACTTTGTGAAGTACACTCTCATCAGAAAATGTGCATTTGAGAGGATTTACTCTAGCAATAAATGTACGAATGGCTCCAACGAAATTACGGTGCGTCTAAGAAACTTTTAGCATCAACAAAGAACATAGTTACGGACGTGATTTATCGCGTTGCATGTTTGAAACTAGTACCAGATCCAGTTCCTATAAAGTTTTGACAATTATTGAAATCAGCGTTCATTTCACTCATATTGTCACCTAAAGCTTTCACAGCTCATGTAACTCTCTTAAATGAATTGGGATGTTTGGCTGGGTTAAGTGAAATCAAATCAAGTAAAATTGTCGTGATCTAGAAACAAATTTCACCTTTTTCTGTCAGCATCAATATGAGAAATGTATAAGTCAACCTCCACCGCAGTGGTGAAATATGCGGACGATATGGAGACGTCCGTTATGGTGATCCTCTCCCAAGAGTTTGCAGAGTTTCTACATTTGCTTCAAGACCTTTGGAGCATAGAAGTGGTTCCCTCGCCGAAAAAGGTCCTCTTATTACATAGAGTGTTGTATGCTCATCAACTCAAAAAATTGCTCACCAAAAGTTTTTTCCTACTAAATATATAACATCAAGTGATGACATTTCCTTATGATTACCGCAAATATAAATGAATCCACCATTCATCACATGCATTGTCATTTCCACTGCAATTTTAGAGGTGAATTTGTGAGACTAGAATAGAACAGAGTAGTACAAATATATTTATTTCTCGTGCTATAACATATATACAGCAGCTTATTGAATGCAATCAACTGTGTGGAATGCATAGTATGAAAATAGTATCCATTTCATATTACTGTCACGGAGTCAACGACCGACATTTGATGAAGGTAACCGCAAATATATGGAAAGATTTCGGAAATTCCTTATTTTCTTGTTAGGCCGAAGACGTGGTTTTACGTGACAAAATTTATCCACACAGCAGACGTTTCGGCAGTGCCGCCTTCTCCAGAGTCTGGAAAGATCAGGTTGTCCACAATCCAGTTAGTCAAACACCTCACATACTCCTTTAAAAAAATCGCCTAACCCAAATTTCAGTTGCATCAAGCACGAATTGAACTTTCAACATACTAACCTCTTTTTTTTAATGTCACTGAATTATTTAAGTAAATACCACCGAACGGAGATAACATGGACTTGTAATGTACCTCTCTCAACAGAACAACAGTTTATATACTGATTCACATCACGAGCAATGACGAAGTATTCCTCCCTACTTACGGTTCATAGTTAGATTGGTGAAATTAATACAAAAATGCTCTGAAACCTTTCGCGCTGATGTTTTATGTTCTTGCGCAAGAATGATGGCTTTTATGTCGATATAAACTCCGTCATGCGCCTGTGTAATAGGCGCGCCTAACGGGGTGTTTGCTTAGAAGTTACGGATGTCAACTAGGTATTCTTCTATGCGGACACAGAGTGGCCTACCCGTTTAGCCAATGTATTACTTCTTGCGGCAGTCTTTGCAGGAGATTAGGTAATCTGTGCCTATGCTCATGCAATCACCGCCTTTGCCCATTAGGGCATATTTGGCATTGTTTCATTGTACAGACACGGTCGTGAGCGGTGACGAACTATTTGACGCCTCAGAGTATTCAGTGATACTCCATTAATCTTTACCGATTTCACTAATAAGTGGGGTAAATTGCGAGTCCATGTGATCTCCGCTCGATGATCTCCACTTGATTTATTCAGTAGATATCGAGCGATGCATATGTTGAAGGCTGATTTTGTGCTTGATGCGATTAAAAGCTGGGTATGGTGAATTTTTACTAAAAGGGAGTGAAGATGTTTGATTGACTGGATTGCGGATAACCTAGTCTTTGCAAGCTCTGAAGAAGTCGAAACGTCAGCTGTATGAACAAATTTGTATCTGACTTAAGAAGAAAAGAAGGTATCACTGAAGCATGCCGGAGCTGATGATTAATCGATCTTGAGAATTGTTACAAGAATTCTAAGTATCATTAAAATGATGATTTAAGTGAATACTGATTTTCCTTACTCTGCACTACTTGCATCGTGGAGTCATTGGCCACATTTCTGATCAGTTCACCGTGGAGGATGACTTACTTTCAGCTATCATACTTAGGTCACTATCTAAGAACTATAGAAATGACCGAGAATAGATGTAAACAAAGAGTTAGGCAATGATAAAATATCACAGCAAAGCTTTCGGTGAAAAATGAAATCAGAAGAAGATGGGTAAGCCACCTCCCTTCTGCTCTGCGGTGATACGGGATCCTGCGTGCTTGAAATATTCTAAGATGTCTCATTAAAATTAGAAAAAAATTATTTGGAGATGCGCTAAATAACGGGAACAAGGAATAATAATATGAAGGAACAGTAGCATAAAAACATCTGGAACAATTTCTTACAGCTTCTTTATAACTACACATTTATTTGTTCTATTTTACACGATCCGTCCTCGTAATACACTGTGCCGATTCCAGCATTTCTTCCAATCAAATGCTTTCCTCACGTTCATCCTCCGCGAAACCCTTCGTACATCTTTCCGTCACGGCTGCTACTTGAGGGTTTTGTTTTCCTTACGAATATCATAGAATACTGACTTTGTCAAAGTTCGCTGATTTCTGTAAGATAGACAGGATAACGTGTTCTCAGGTGATTTTAGGAAACTGCTGGGGGAGCGGATGGAACAAATGTTTTGTTTATCACCTTGACTTGTGACCCCGCACAAAAATTAACAAAATACAAAATTATCAGAACTTCTAAAGTACCTTGTGTTTCCAATTACTATATAACGTTTATTTGCATATATCTTTTTTATTTTCTAGTCTATGTTTTTATAGTCATTCGATAGCTCTAGAAATGGCAATTTTGATAATAAATTTGCTTGAGAAACAACCTTTTTACTGCTTCATATTAGCCAATAAAGGATAACGTCTACCAAGCGTAGTCTATTTTTTCAACTTCAGAGCGAATTTTTTGTTATTAGTAAAGGTTCAATAGTAACTCCCGTAAGGCTTTGCTGATATGTTATACTTTTGGCCTATGGCTACTGTGCTATTAACGTGGTAGTATAGGGCTCACGCTACGGAGGTTGGAGTTGAGCTCTTCTTGGGTGCGCCACGGAGAAGGCCTACCAGGACCTACAGTAATCAAAAGTAGATCGTTGCCTTTGATAGCGTTTGATATCACTGTAACATTGGCACCGAGAAATGATTGATCACCAAGTTGCGCACTGTGTTGAACGGGGTGGAGACGACCACTCAGGTGGCGGAACTTTAAACAGATCACGAGGGACTCGTCACAGGGGTTACAGCGCACAGTCCCATATTTGATCACCATCCTTTGTACATAGTTTACCCGAGCTTCAATAGCAACAACCTACTGTTCGCTCTCCCGGTGAACTTCACGAAGACCACATGAAACATCCAAAACATCTGTGCTCATATAAAGTGATCATGCCCCACATCCGCTGCAGTATTTACAAACAGTTCGAGAAAGATGACCCAGCATCGACGCCGGCGACCTCAGGTTCTTTCGTCACTCTTGTTGCTGTCCTAATTTTGTGAGGTCGCGTACCTATTTTTCTTCCTTCTTGTTACTGACTCATCTTTTAGTGATCCTGCTATCTCGTTGCTTCAATCAATCGTTCATTATCTTGTCATTACTCTTGAATATGATTTCCGATTCTCAGTCTCTGGGCACATGAGAAGAGGTTTCCTGTAACGTAATCCATCTGGGGCGTTAGGAATTTGTATATATTAATTAAAATCGCTATTGTAACATTTGTTCTTTTAGGTTGTTCGTCTTAGACGAACTATTTCGTTGTACTTACACCAGACACTCACTAGTCGTATATCAGCAATCGCTCTTTGGAACAATACTGTTGCTATTGGATAAATTATTAAGTAAATCCCGTGTCTGCAGAAGAACGGGCAACAACGCTCGTAAGACTTGCGTGGCGTTTAAGGACGAGTAAAAGGCCGGAATCAATATAATCATTATAAAATAAAAGATTATCATAGGAGGAACTAATGAAAACGCATTTTCAATGAAACTGAATGCCTCGTTGTCGAGAAATCCTTACCCTTCAATGCGAAAGCTCCATAATTAGGAAAACAACGTATTTCATACTTTTTCTCCATCTTTGCTTTGATGGTGATGTGTAAATGTACTTTAAAGAATTTCCTACAATGAACGACCCCTAGAAGATGGATGCCTGGAAGAAATTCTTAGTATGTGGCGCAATCCACCCACCTGCCGCTCGTCAAACCATTGTGCGTCTGAGCGGTTAAGATTCAATGTAAGCAAACAATATTTTTAGTAAACCATCTTTAATCTGACCGACACTTGCGGTGTTATGATGCTTCAATGTACCCAATAATGTAGAGTGCTGTGAAAAATGGTTGCGTCAGCTGGGATTCGAACCCAGATCTCATTCTTCCCGGGAGCGTAGGCTAAATCGCTGCTTCACCGATGCTCATTTTTGAATAGAACTCTTTTTACTCTACGACGCCTTATCTGCCAACAGCCAATCATCTACGGTCTGGCGGGGCAGACTATTGATATGCAATATCTGTCAGCATAATTGGTTCATTTGTTTATCTTTGTTTTTCTTTTGTTGTCAACATGTTTCAAATATGTGTCAACTGATAAATTTTGATTTCAAATTTTGGTGCCATAAGATTGCATAGATAGAAGCAGTTCATAGATAAGAGCTGTCTATGCTGAAAAATATTACTTAGTGGTATTTTTAGCAATGTTTAGTAACTTTGTTAAATCAGTAATTTTTGACACCTTTTTGTTTGTTCTTATTCTTGAAAGATAAAAACTTGAGAAATATTTCATTTGCGAAAGGCGCTCGTATTTGTGCGCGAAAATTCTAATTTGTGAAAATTTAGGGTCATTGTATACTTCAGGTCAAAGTGTAATTCTCAATACTTAGAAGAATAATTCTCAACAGTTTGAGGTAGTTTTACATTGTGATTCTTGGCAATTTGAAAAAGTCCTACACAGTTTCTCTTTTAGTCGCAGATCAATTCTCCCAAGTCTCACGTACATAGGTTTTGCAAATCTCAAAGAAAGAGTGTTACTTACTTTACAAAGATGTAAAAAACGCAGGGACCTTTACTTGGTGACAAAGTTGGGTGGTGGCGTGATACGTAAGAAAAACCTGTTGTGACACAATGAAGGTCATTACGTGCTTTTTCGCAGCACTTGATTTCTATCAGTTCCATAGATTCGTGAGCCTCTCCATGCTGACTCTTCTACTATACAACAAAAACATTCTTGGCAGATCTCTTCTAATAGTTTTGACACCTTATCGATCCGCCTTCACATTGCTTTTTTTCCACTATGCGGATCTCAGTACTTCTAGCATTCAACTCGTTTATTCGCCTTCCTCTTGAACGTCGTGGAATATTGAATGAGCGAGTCTCCTTGCAGTCTCGCAAATAACCTGGCTGTGGCGTTCCATAAGGCGTTGTGCTTGACTGCCGGAGTGTGAGGGTGGGGGAAGGACACGGTTCCACGTGCGCTACGACGAGCACGACAACCTCTCGGTCACGGAGCTCTTTCTCTTTGGATAAATTTCTCAAGAATGGGAATGAGCTATGATGAACCATATCTTGATGTACATTATATATAAGAATCCTTTTTTTCATTTCGCTTCCGTGCTCAATCCTCGCTGCTCTTTTTCTGTCAAAGCGATAATTTTTAGTGATCAGGTGCTGCTTCTGCCTTCATGATTTGGATTTCCCCTAATAATGTTCTCTTGAGAGTTTTGCTATTTGGTAACCCTGAGTCATTTTTCTTCAGATTTATATTTGTATCTTCAATTCTTGTTTCTTGAGCGAAACCGCTTCTAAAGTTCTCTAATCATAAGTCATGTCAATGATTCATTAAAAGTCCGTTTTTGCAACTTTCAATAAACTCTAGACAAGAGGGATGGTGGTAGCACTTGATACGTCTAGACAATTGATTTGATCCAGTTCTGGAGCAGCCAAGTCTCTCATCCTTCTGAGGTCGTGGAATTGGCGTTATACTTTTCTGAGAAAATCTTTGGATCTACAAAGCAAAGGAATGCTTTAGTATGACTAGCTCAGTACTTCGAAGGGAATTAAATTAACGAGCAAATGAAGATACACATGAAAGAAACCGAAAATATTGAGACCGCAGTCAGATATGTATGCAGGAAGATTAAAGACCTCCACTAATACCTTTACTTTCGATTGTTTATATGGACCTTGCTCAAAACAATGATAATCCGATAACATAATAACATATTTTGAGCCTTTTATAAGCTGAACTGAAAAGCACCGTACTACTGATGAGCCTGAAAAGGCGAAACAAGCCTGTCTAGTTTTGTACAAGTGCCATATCGACCTCATAAAGACTCAAAACATTTTATCATGTCATCAAAGTTTTACTAATGCCGAACGTAAAAATACGATGGAATGCAGTGTTGAGTACCGGAAATATACTAGTTTCTTCGTTAATGTCACCGTCACATTATCCCTCATCAATCATTCATTGATTCTCACCTCGTTTCTATCAGCATTATTCCTTCTTTGTGAAAATTCCTTCCACCTTCGCAATGTTCTACCTTTTTGCTGTCATTTCACATCCCGTCATTTTACTTGTAACTTGTATTCCCGGTGCCACGTTCATTTTTCGTTTAAAAGCGGCACAGTCACTGACTGGCAGAGCGCACTGAGATGGCAATGTGGCAGTTTTCTAATGAAGAGATTTTTATCATCACTAATGGGGTTTTCGATCAGTAAGAAAAAGAATTTTAGCTGAAAAAATTTGAAGACGGGCATAGATAATAAAAACAAGGTCAGTGCTTCTTTCTATATTCCCCATTTTTGAAGGGGAAAGCCAGGGACCACCTCTAGCGGTGGTATGATGTTAAAAATATTCCCACTGATGTAAGGTGACGTATGAAATATTTGCTTCAAACAGAACTTAAACCCTCATTTCACCCATTACAGGAGCGCGCTCTATCCCTTGCGCCACCGACCCCTGTTTTGACACCACTTTCTACGCTGCAAAGCACCTATCTGTTAGCAACCAACCGTCAATGGTTCGCTCTAGTTAGAACCAGGAACTCACGAAAAAAATCACATTTCGAACTTTTACTGTGCATTATTATGCCACATTATTTATATTTATTCACGTTTCATTCGCATTATCCCTTTTTTGAGAATAGTAGTCATCTGTGCACATTGCCACATTGAATAAGTCGTCAAATAATTATATTACCATTTTGGATTACTGAAATCGAATATTACAGCACATATAACAAGTATTGTAATCGCCTATTCTGAGACCTAGCTCAAGAACAGTATAATCTGATAGTGTATTTTGAGCCTTTCAGGAGGATTGTTATGGGCACTCAAACAGTACGAGACACGTGTTTCGCCCATACAGCCTCGTCAGTTGTAGTGTACCTTTTATTTCAGTCACTTTCTCGAGGATCGTGTTCCTCCCAGGAACATGAAGGCTAGCGATCAAAGAAGTCGGCCAAGTCACTTTTGAGCTAATTGTTTTCTTTAGCTTTTTTCTCCCACAGACGCTATTTCGAAGCTCGGAATACATGATGACACGTTGGATTAATGCTAGGGCTGTACAGTGAAGGTGGTAACTCCAGCCCAGTTTTTCCAGAAAGAAATCACAATGTGATGTCGAGCGTTTTCCTGAAGAAGGGCAAGCACTATCTTGTCTCGGGCGCTCCTCTCGCACTACTGCGGCTAACTTCCGGTATAATTGAAGTAGACACCGGCATAGATTGTCTGCTTCTTATCGCCAAAAAGCATGCTCTGTCAATCCCAGAAGATTGAGAGACAATGGCGGCAGAAGAAACTATTGGGTAACCCAATACTACGGAAATCTTATAAAAACTGAACTTATTATTGAAATATAAACTTCTCAGGTCATCCAGTGACACAAAAACGAATGCTCAGTAACACTCAAAGATATCTTTCTTTTACTACTAATGTGTTTCTCTCGTTGAAACATAGGAAATTTGTCGACATATAGGCTTTCTTTTTGAGACATTTATCCTTAAAAGAGGATCTCCGTTGATATGACACATTTTACATCGGTAATGCCTCCTCAAGACCTAATTTTCACTATACAGCTACCAACATATTTGGAGTAAGAACTACAGCGACTTATCAGGTACTCGGGCAATCTATGGACACAAAAACGTAACCCACTTCATCCTGAACCAGATGCGTCTTTCGAAAGTCTTGCGAATGTTAGTGCGCGCCTCAATGAAAATCTTGTACTTATTTGATAAAGTTCGATTTTAAGAAGACTTTGCAGTCATTAAATGGTAGTATATCACTAAAGAGGTTTCTGTCAAGGTATTTCTAGTAAAATGAGCGCCTATATGTCGGAAAACTCTCATTGTTTCAACAGAAGAACATCTTTGCTAAATGAGGCATACTTATAATTGTTATTGGCATTTTTCCTCGTCTAACTTCAGTTTTTAGGTCCTTTTATTGCTATCTCCAGGCTGCTTCAGTCCTTTGCGAGAATCGGATATTCCAAATTTGTAAAGCGCTAGTAGTCTTCTTTGACAGCTTGATTATCAGGAACTTCGCCGGTGTATTTTACTTTTAGAACAGTTGTCTTATGCGCTCTGACTATCAAAAATTATGTTATGTTTCACACTTAAGCATTTTTCGCCGGATAGAATCTTTTTCCTAAACTTCCAGCTACAACTCAATAGCTAAAATCTTGGCAGTTTCAATGATGTACTTTATTTTTAGAAAGAACTTCATGAAACGCTGTAGCGACTAGAAGAGAATTGCGATTCGCTCTCGGTGATATGACATGTGGATGGGATTTTGTAGCATCAGTACCAAGCCACCGCGCTTTTTGCGTGATAACGGTTATTTGAGAAATCCAACCTTCTTTCGACCGCTACAGCTCATCAAGAGTTTCTTTACAAAGACAAAGTTATACTGGAGCCCTTGTCGAGACTTGAGCTATTAAGCGATTACTGAAAGTCTATGGTGAAAAGTTTTATTCGGCAAAAGTTAGTTGAGCGTGAAACATATTATTTTCCTACTTTGAATGCTCACTAAAAAATCTGTTTTGAAAATGAAGGTACTTTCGAAAATTTTGAGGCCTAAGAAATCGATTGACTACCGTAAACCTGAAAAAAACCGAAAACGCGTATTTCTCAAAACAAGACAAGGGGCGGATAACGGACGTGATTTAAATGAGCGGAACTCAGTGTTCTTCTCGCTGATACAGCGCAGTTGAAGTCCATTCTAGAAATCAAATATATTATTGAAATTGCACAAATATAGGCTATCGAACAGTCACTAAAAGTCTGAGAAAAAGGCTCCGTCTAGCGAATAATGTTTGAGCATGTTATATGACTTTATTTTTACTGTTACAGCGCAGTAAAGAAGCTATTTTATAAACAAAGTACTCCATCTTAATTTCCAAGAGTTAAGCTATTGG